ATTTTATAAATTAAATTGATAAATACTTACTGAACTCAACAATTAGTCTAACTAAATAATCTCAAAAATGATAAATAAAAAGAATCTAATGTTTGAAAACTAACTCTTCTGAATAAAATATAAGTTAATTGATAATATTAATCATTTTTTAATAAAAAAAAATCACATTATTTATATTGAAAATTGAATAGATGATAAAGTTACCAGATATCTAAATTTAAAAATAAAAAAAATTATTTAGAGAAGTTTAAAATTATAATAAAGATGTTTAAATATCTATAAAAAATATATAAAAATATCAACAAGTTTAAAAATGCTAAGATAAAGTATCAACATCTAATAATAAGAAATAAAAATAACTATTATAAATTTATAATTAAGTTTTTATATCTGACTAAGAAAGTTCAAGTTCAAGTAGATGATTATAAGACAGATTTTTTTAAACTCTCTTTTAATTTATAATATATAATTATAGTAATATGTACAAGTTGTTCTATCTTTCAAAAAGTTTAGAATATCTGTACTAGAACTGCTTATTATTTTAAGAGTATGTTTAGCTCAAACAGCTAATGATCATTCAATATAAAACAATATCAAAATAACTATAAGAGAATTTTCTCAATTTAAATTTATAAATCAATATTAATTATAATGACACCAATCTCAGAAAACAAGTTAAGAACTGAGAATTGAAGAAGAAATATAAAAACTTCATCTGTTGAAATAAGAATTATATAGCTCAGAATTACTCATAGAAATAAAAAATAAATATAACAGAAGAGAATACCAAAACTACTATTATTAAATTAAAAAAAAATTAAATTTTAAAGAAGCCTTTTTCTCAAATAAGATAGTTGCACTAGAGACTTTGAATGTTAATTAGTTAATAAGAAGAAATCTCTTTACTATATATATAAAAAAAGCTTTTAATGAATATGTTATTTCTACAAAATTATTAGTAAATTTTAGAGTAAATTATTATATTTTTATTGACAAAAGCTTTGCACACAAATGCATTAAAGTCTTGAAAATAAAATTAAAAAAACTAATAAAAAGTAATTAAATTATGAATTATAATAATTAGAAAGAGATTTCAATTACAAAAATTATCTATATATATTTATAATTAGATAAATATAGATTTTTCAAAATATTAATACTACTAATAAATCTGAAAAGCACTATTCTAATTCTAAACTGATTCTGACTGATAATGCAGAAAATGTAACTGAATATGAAGAATTAACATTTAATTTGATCAGAATAGTATATATTTGAAGATAAGATCTTTGAAAAATATAATATAGTAATTTTAATAAAGATATAAAAAATTAATAATGAGATCAAAGTATTAATAAAATACTGATTATTATAATAAACTTATTAATGAAAAAATCAAATATAAAATTGTTAATAGAAAGAAATTAACTTTCAAAACTTTATCAAAAATGATAGTTATTGAAAAAGTTATCTTTTACGACTATCAAAAAAGTAAGAAGGAAGATATCTTTATTTCAATCTTCAATGAAATAAATTAAATCATTGAAGAAAAGAAAAAGATTATTATTAATATTAAATTGAAAAAGAAAGAGACAGTTAATAAACTGCTATCAGAGAACTATATAGAGTTTTATAACATCTTTTTGAAAATCATTTCAGATCAATTATCACTCTTTTAAAAAGAGATGAATTAAAAGATTGAGCTTGAGAATAGAGCTGATTTTAATGAGACTATTTATTATGCATCTTTATATAGAATAAATTTAAAGAAACTGAAAATAGTAAATAAGTATATTAAGATTAATCTAGAAAAGAACTTTATCTTATCTGTTACTTCTTTTTTCATATTATCAATTCTTATTACTCATATCACAGATAAATTAAAATTTTGTATAAATTATTATAAATTTAATAGAATCTTAAAAAAGAATTATTATTCAATTTTACTGATAAATAAGCTCATGTAACAACTTAATAAAATCAACTACTTTCTCAAGCATGATATTTAACAAGGTTCTCATCATGTCTATATGTATTTTAAAACTGAATATCTAATCATCTTTAGAATATATTACAAAATCTAAAAATATAAAGTTATACTCTTTAATCTGAGTAATAAATTAATTATTTTTTAGTACTTTATAAACATTATCTTTTTTAATTATTTAAATTAGTTCATGATTACTTTTGTAAATAATTTACTTATTTATAACAAAACTCTGAAAGAGGACAGGAAATATATTAAGAAGATATTAATCAGACTGCAAGAGATAAAACTATAAATAAGTATCTTAAAATACAAGTTTTATATTCAATAGATAAAGTACTTGAGATTTATTATCACTGATTAAAGAATTATAATTGATTCTGAGAAGAATATAATGATATTCTAATAAGCAGTGCTTAATACAGTTAAGAAATTTCAATTATTTTTAAAATTCTGCAACTTTTATTGATATTTTATTAAAAAATACAGCTGGATTATAAGGTTACTATTTAATTTACCTTAAAAAAGTTAATTCTTTAAATAAAATAAGAATCTATTAAAAAGTTTTTAATTAAATAAAAAAAGCTCTATCTAATAATTTAGTACTTTATTGTTACAATTTGAATCAAAAAACTCAAATAAAGACTGATGCTTCAAATAATGCTATAGCTGATGTTTTATCTCAGTTATGTAAGAATAAATATTAATACTATGTGATACTCTACTTTATATTCATAAAAATTGTAAAAAAAAACTATAAAATTTATGACAAGAAGATATTAATCATTATAAGAACCTTATCAAAATAATAGATTGAACTAAAAGAACTTCAGAGAGAAAAAAAATTTATAATTTTAATAAATTATTAAGTATTTGAGTATTTTATAATTATCAAAAATCTTAATATTAGATAGATATATTGAACTAAGATTTTCTCACAATTTTACTTTCTAATTCGGTATTGATCTGAATATTAAAATATACTAACTAATATCTTAAGTAAATTAGAGATTTAAAAGAAAAAAAATAACTTTAAATTGTAATTATTTCTTAAATCAGAAAAATTAAACTCTGAAATTATTAAAAAATCTACTAAAGTCAAGACTTTAAACATAAATAAAAAAATTTTAAAAAAAGTCAAGTTAAAAAACAAAAAAATGAAGTTATTAAGCTCATAAAAAAAATATATTAGAAAAAACAACTCTGAAAGCTAATAAATAAACTTTTATATTTTAAAAAATATTTAATAATATTAATTAGAAAAAATTTTACTTTTTAAATACATTTTTTAAAAGAGATTCATAAGCAGTCATCAACAGAACTCTCTGAGAAGAAAAAGTCCTACTTACTAATAAAAATAAAATACTACTAAAATAACTGAATCAAAAATGTTGATCAATATATAAATAATTATTTGATATATTAATGAATGAAAATTTTCTATGATAGAACTTTAAAACTACTGAAGTTATTATCAATCTCTGACAGAGTCTAATAGCATATATTAATAAATTTTATAAACAGCTTTATATCAAAAAGAAATTATAATTTAATATTGATAATTGTCTATCAACTGAGTAAGAAATCTATATTCATTTCTATTATAAAAAAAACTGATATTAAGAAGCTAATGAGGCTTTTCTTGAATTGTTATTATGAATATTACAGAGTATCAGATTCAATTATATTAATTTAAAGATCACTGTTTATCTCAGACTTCAGAAATAAATATATTAAATAGTTAAAAGTGAAGTTGAAGCTCTCATTAACTTATCACATATAAATAGATGATCAAACTGAGATTGTAAATCAGTATATGATAATCAAACTTCATTCATTTATAAATTACTATTAAAATAACTAAATTGAGTGACTATCAATAATAAGTCATGCAGTTAGAGCTTTGAAGAATAAATCTACTAAAATAACACTTTTTTTAACTATTTATAGATATAAATTTAAAATATTCTTTGACTGAAAGTCACTATTAGAAATATTATATAAAGAGAAAAAGTTTAAATGAGAAGATGTTAGACAGCATATCATTTAGATGAAAGAAATCTAAAAGCTGATAGCTGATAATTTGAAAAAAATACAAGAAATTATAAATTATAAAGTCAAATATTAACAGATATCATCAGAAGTCAGATTTTAAAATAAAATCTTTTTATCATTTAAGAACTATAGAATTCAACATTTAAATAAAAAGCTAATAAAATAAAATGAAAATTTCTTTGAAATTATTGAGAAAATAAACAATAGCTATAAACTAAGTTTATCAAATAGTATAAGAATTTACTTAATATTCTCTTTAAATAAACTATGAAAAAGCTACAGATAATTCTCTATCAAAATAATTAAATTAGGCTTTAAAATTAGTTAAAATTC